GCCCAGGAGATGATCCACGACATCTCCCGAGCGGACTGGAAGCGGGCTCCGAATATCGCGCTGAAGCTGGACATGGCTAAGGCGTATGATAGGGTTGAGTGGCCGTTTCTTAGGGAGGCGTTGGCTAGGATGGGATTCCCTGAGCGTTGGATCAGCTTTGTGGAGGCGTGTGTGGAGCATTGCACGTTCTCGGTCCTGGTTAATGGCAGCCCCACCGATTTCTTTCCATCATCTAGAGGCCTTAGACAGGGCGACCCCCTGTCCCCTTCCCTCTTCGTTCTTGCGGCGGACTATCTCTCTCGCTGCCTTGACGGCTTCATCCGCGACTCTCCCCATATGACCTATAGCACCTGTGGCTATGGTCCTACTGTCTCTCACCTTTCTTACGCAGATGACATCATTATCTTCACCCGGGCGGATGATGATGGACTGGTCGAGCTCATGCGCCTTTTGGAGCACTATGGCTTGGTCACCGGTCAGCTGGTCAGCGTGCAGAAGAGCACCTTCATCCTTTCATCTGCCACAGTGGACAGGTGGGCTCAGCGGGTCCACGACATTACTGGCTTTGTGCGTGGCGACCTTCCCATTACCTACCTCGGGGTCCCTTTATATAAGGGCAACCTCACGAGAGCGCTCTTTGCGGGCGTCAGACAGAGAATGATCGACAGGATCTCTGGTTGGTCGCATAGATATCTTTCTTTCGGTGGTCGGCTAGCGCTGATCAAGAGCACTCTTAGCTCTCTTCCGATTCACCTGCTTATGGTCCTCGACCCCCCTAGGTCTACTCTCGACGAGCTTGACCAGATTATGGCTCGTTATTTCTGGGGATACGAGGACGGGTCTGAGAGGGGGAGACGTACTCACTGGGTGAGTTGGGATTCTATCTGTCGCCCCTTCCCCGAGGGTGGCCTTGGCATCCGCCGCCTCAGGGACATAGTTACAGCTTTCTCATACAAGCTGTGGTGGCGCTTCAGGGAAGGAAAGTCGCTTTGGGCTCAGTACCTTCGCGGCAAGTACTGCCCTAGACGTGCCAACCACCCTTGTTGGGTCAAGGCTGTTGATCATGATAGCAAACAGTGGCGGCGCCTCACTAGGGTCGGGAGGCGAGCCCAGGACCACATCTTTTGGGTTTTGGGTGGGGGCGATGTCAGTGTCTGGGATGAGTGGTGGGTAGGAGATAGGCCGTTGTCTAGGGATAGGCAGGTGTCGCATTCCCCCTACCTGCTCGTCAGCGACCTCTGGACGGACGGGTCGTGGGATAGGGGGAAGCTTGATAGGGAGTTGGGGGCTGGTGCGGGTTTTAGCGAGCAGTTATTAGATCAGATCCAGCAGATCCCTATCTCGGGGGACGGTTCAGATAGCATGAGGTGGAGACTTACATCATCATGTGTGTTTTCTACTACCTCGGCTTGGGAGCAAATAAGGCTGAGGGATCGGCCTAATCTCCTCTTCGGGGCTATCTGGAGTGACCTTTTTACGCCTACTATTTCGGTATTCCTTTGGCGCCTCCTTCTGCGCCGGATACCCGTTGATACTGTGCTACACGCGAGGGGGATCTCCTTCCCCTCTCGATGTGTGTGTTGTTCTGAGACCGGACGCCATGAGACCGAGACCTTTACCCACCTTTTTCTAGAGAGTGAGATTGTGAGGAGAGTGTGAGAGCATTTCGCCACTTGGACTCATATATCCCTACCCACCACATACAGTTTTTTTGAGCTCCTGAGTTTTTTCTCACAGAGCACACACCTTAGGCACGTGGGCTTCCTCATTCCTTGTCTGATCCTTTGGTTCACCTAGACAGAAAGGAATAGTGCGAAGCATAGGGATATTACTTTTACGCTTTCTCACATTGTTTTGCAGGTTGAGAGACACATTTCACTCCTCATCTCATTGGGCAGGCTCACGGCTCGAGACTGGACAGGCTGCACGCCACCGCACCGATACATGGTGGCCCCACCACCGCCTGTTCGGACTCCTCGGGCTAGAGCTGTTGTTTGGCTTCGACCTGACTCTCCGTGGGTCAAGCTGAACACTGATGGCTCATTTGATCGCCACACTGGAGTTTCCGGAGGAGGAGGCCTGATTCGAGACCATAGCGGCGCCCTCATCACTGCTTTCCACGCGTCCATTCAGGCCTCCTCGAGCTACGACGCCGAGATTGAGGCACTACAGATTGGCCTACAGATAGCTGCCCACCTCTCTAGTCATATATGGATCGAGCTGGATGCTGCGGCTGTCGCCACCCTCCTGACTTCGGGCCATCAGGGCTCGTGGCAGATTCAGCACCCACTTATGCGCATTAGAGATATACTTCGATCAGTCCACCACAGGATTACGCACATTTTCCGTGAGGGGAACAGACCTGCTGACTACCTTGCCAGCCTTGGTTCCACCATACCCGATATACATACGTTCGGATGGATCAGCTTAGATATCCGTCTTTCCGCTTTCAGTAGATTAGATTTTCTCTGTTGTCATTTCATTAGATTCTCATTTATTTTTCGGGCACCTGTTAGCCCATAGACAGACTTTGTATTTGTTTCGCTAGTGAGACCTTGTAGACTGTTGATATTTTTGACCCCCGTTTTGGGGTCTTGATCTATGCACAGGTTGGGGATCCAGCCCAATCCCCCGCCTCTCGGGGCGTTGTTTGTTTAAAAAAAAAAAAAAGAAAAAAAAATCTAGCAACAAAACACAACTAACCTAACAAGAAAGAAATAACATAACAAAAGACAAATGGTCAATGGTCAACGCCGGAAGTCAACGCCCGAGTCAACGGTCAACGCCAGAAGTCAACGATTTTCACCGGAAGTCAACGCCGGAAGTCAACGGTCAACACCGGAGTCAACAGTCAATGCTAGAGTCAACGGTCAATGGTGATAATAATATTTAAATAATTAAAAATAAAGAATTAAATAATAAAAATAAAGAATTATTCTTTAAATCAAGATCTAAATCTTGTGGTTAGGAATGAGTCTCACGTCCTCACTTTAAATAATGGGATGCATTGGAACCAATCCCTATATACTTCAGTTTTTCATTTTTATATAAACTTTTTTTTAAAGATATTTATAATAAGTTCATAAATCTGTTTACAATATCTTATCAACGAAGATGTTGCAGCATGGTGTAGTAGCTAAGGATGATTCCGACTTGAAAAACTACTTGATAGGCAAGTTTAAATTCTATGAGAACCATTATAAACTATTTGATATTGTGATATATTTGTAGCATTCTTACCATTTTTTTCTTAAATGGAGGAGAAACATGATACGAAATAAAGCTCTTTAATTATTAGATTAGATTCGAATGAGGATACTACTGTCTTAATTATTAAAAAACAATAATTTATTAGATTCACTACAATAATTCGAATCTAGTTTAATAATTATTAGAGCGACATTCAATGTGCAATGGATAGTGACATTACTTTAATTATTAGATTAGCGAAAATCCAGTGCAAGGTAATCTAATCTAATAATTAAGACAGTAGTATCCTCATATCATTCGAATCTTATCTAATAATTAAAAAACAATAATTAATTTTCTGTAAGAATTACCTTGCACTGGACTTTCGCTATTTGCTGATCTCCTCCTCTTCATGTTCCTTGGTTGTGATTTATGTCCTTTAACATCACTGTCCATTGCACACTATCAAATTGATCTTCGAAATTGTCACCTGTTGAAAATTGTTTTTACTAAGTAATGTCAAAGAATCCATTATACACTAAGTATAAAAATTATGTTTTATTCCAATATACAAAGTAATGTCCAACTGCTGTACGTGTTTGAAAACTTGTATGTATGTGTGTGCCTTTGATTTATGTTATATGCTCGTCTAAAACTTATGTTTGAGGATAAGAAAAATCGCACTTTTGGAAAAAAAAAAGAACAGAATGGAATGATAGATTTTGGTTAAAAAACATGCAAGTTAGATTGTGGTTTTCATTCATTATATAGGTATGATGAAAGAATCTTAACGCTGCTAATATCTTTTTTTCTTTTTTCTTTTTTTTTTTTATTTTGAAAATAGACAATTTATATTCATTCTGATATGATTCTTGTTATAATGATATCCCATTTTGATATACAATTTATCTTCGAGAACTTATCTTCGAGAACTTTGCATACAACTTCTAATTTCGACGTACATTTTCTTCATTGTTGCATGAGCATCGCCTTTCAAAAAAGTGGCATAATGTGCGATCAGTGGTCTCAAAAGAAAAAGAAACCAATAAAAGATAAATATATATTTGTGTGCATGAGCATCACGAGACCGATGAAGGACCGATCGGAGATGATCGGGGATCAAAGGACTCTGAGCAAAAATGATTCAGAAAAGGTAATTAGTTGAAGTTTTTTTCTCAGACATGATTATAAAGTTACTTAGACATGTCTTGGCCAATAACAGAGTCTAATTGTAACGCCCCGTTTTATTTTAAAGAATTTACCGAATTTATTTAATAAAAAACAGAGTATTTTTTTTTAAATCCAAGTTAAAACATTTATCGAGAAACGGGCGCTACTTACCATCCACAACAAACAAATAATAACACCAAATCAATCAATCGATAGAACCTACACATGCTCGAGCTATCAGAATAACAATCTTAATAATCATAAATTTCAAAACCATTCCCGAACGACTAGCATGAAAGCAAGGTTCAAACGAAATTCAACATAGTTCGAAAACGACGAAACAAATAATCCAAAGTATAGCAAATAGATAAATATCAAGTTTATGCGGAAGCATAGGTGTTCAACACATAATGACCACCATCTCGCTCGTCCTACGCCACTGCCTCCAGCTCGTCTCAACCTAGATCAAAGGAAGAGAGAAGACAACAAGAAAATAATGGGGGTGAGCAACCAACAAGCTCACCATTATCGCACAGTTTATCTTGAATAACATTTTAAACCATCATAACCATAGTATTCAGTATGCATAGAATCCAACAGTCTAACTCCCTACTTGGCCCTATCGCAAACCTCCTATGTACATACAACAACCTTCCGATCACACACAGCAAGGAAGTAACTGGAAACCTTCCCATCACCGAATGGCTACGGGCCTGGGATCCTTTCCAGGAGACAGTAGAGATGTTTTTCCCATTCACGAATATCATACGGACCTGGGCGTCACCTCTCCGAATCTACGGGCCGATGACCTCTCACTGTTTATGCATTCCTCAAAGGCACTAACATACGGGACACTTAGACTAGGGTTCTCACGCATACATCATTTTTCAAAAGAAGCATTATACGAAATAAATAGTGCGATAAATATGGAATACATCATAAATGTACCCACCTGATTGCAGCAACAGTTCAAATCACAAATCTCGAAATGAGGCGAGGGCAACACCTCTAGACACCTACATAAGTCCAGATACTAAAGTCAACACTTTAATCTAGACCTAAGTAAAAAATTCACAAATTGACTTAGCCGAACTCGAGTCGACCAAGTGGTTCGTGAAGTTCTGTGGATGTTGGAACAGTAAGACTCGGCACTAAACTCGACCAAACCACATAAGGGAGTTCACATAAATCCATTCAGTGATTGGCCAAGTCAAACTCAAATCAAAACGAACTTGCTTTCCGATATAACTACCAAAATTATATTTTGGAAATAATAATCATTAATCGCATAAAAATGGATGATCAAGTTACCCTATAAATCAAGCTCTGAACTTTTACCCAAAATTACATCTCCGAGAAACATGTTAAACCACAAATTTTCAGCTTCAAACTCGAAATACACTATTTTATAAAATTCAAACAAGATATCAACAAAACGGGAACATCAATTTATACATGAACTTAATGAACGAATCAGGACTTGCAAATTTAACACAACAATGTACAGCATGCTAAATTCCATGTAAATAAATCTCAGCCCTGAAAATTGACTGTTACTATTATTAAAAATTCACACGAGATTCAGCAGCTTATCGAATTTAAATCAAAACCAAAACCAAATGGACTCCTAAAATTCCCATCTTTTAAAATCATGATTCAACACATAAAATAGGCATCTCAGTAAAATTTCAGAATTGTTCACGAAATAACCAATTTATAGAAATTCTAACAACAGTCAGCAGATTTGATAAATAAATTATTAACCACATCAAATCATGTCCAACAATTCTGAAAATTTAACACGACATATGAAAGTCACAGATGCATGACATATTCGAATTTCAGATCATTTGGTTTACGAATGAATTTATTATTCAATTAACACTATTCTGCTCAGATTTCATTTTAATTATTAAAAATAGCTACAGGTTTCTAAAAATCACGAACATTTTACATAAGGCTGGTAATGAACAGAAAACATGACCCTCAAATTTTCAAGTCGTTTCGAGCAGCGAGCTCTTTTTAAAAATTTAAACACCAAAACAGCGATATATATGCTCGACAACTTATCAATTAATTCATAACATGAAATTTCTCGTCCGAGGCCTTTTCATAAGACCAAGGGCTCGACATTGTTCCAATATCCACCGACTTACACGACTTTCGAGGTCTCGTTCAATTCTTTAGAAAATCGAAGAGGTCCCGAACATACGATAACACATAAAATCATATTGAACACATAATCGCACATATTCACAACTAGCAATTCACACATATATTACATTGTTCAACGAGCACTTCACGACAATAAACACATAACGAAATAAATCATATACGAGTTAAGCGAGAAGGAAAAATGACGAGATACCGTTCTCGGGAAAAACTCGAAAAACGAAACGAACACGACGAGGCGACGGAGCTCGACGGCTTCACGCGGCTCGCCGGGGGAAGAGGGCAGCGGCTGTCGGTGAACGTCTGCTTGATGGAAGGGTGGTCGAGGCATCGCTGGTGCGAGGGTCGCCGGTGGCTGAGCAGGGCGGAGCAGCGGCGGCAAGGCCTGAGGTGGGGCTGCTCGCAGAAGGCCTGCTCGTCGGGACTGCTCGCTGGGGTGGTCTCGCCGGCGGGTCGTGAATGGAGGATGGTTCACGGCAACCTGAGACGCGCGACGGGACGGAGCAGCGGAGGCCGGAATCACGGTGGCAGGGGTCGCGAAGGAGAACTCGCCGGGATGTTGCTGCACGACGTGGAAGAGGGCTCGCGACTGGAGATGCGGCCTTTTGCTGGTTCACGGCGACCTTCGTGGTGGCAGGAGGGACGCCGGCGGAGAATTGTGGCGTGATGATGGGCTGAAGGTGACGACCGGATCTGCTGTGCCGAGAGGATGGCAATTGGTTCTGGCGTGGGAGAGAAAAGAGATGAGAGATTTTGACGACGGGAAGATTTCTTTATCTGCTCTTGCAATCGCGATCGAGATGGGAGGGGAAAGAAAAACAGATTTGATGGCTAAGTGAGAGAGAAAGGGGTTGCGGCGTGAAAAAAAAAAACTGAGATGAACATATACGTACAAGATTTGTATATATAGTTGCACAATATAATAAATTAGGTTTGACTATGTCTTGATCCTTAAGACAAATCTTTCACATACACACACGCACGAGATTTAAGACAGGCGGATTTGGGCCGGATTTTGGCTCGCGGCCCGGTCGATTGGGCTGGATCACGACAACGAAATCGGCTCACGGGCTCAATTTCGTTTCACATGGGTATTTTCGGGCTCGATAAAATCGCACGTTAAAATATTCGGCTCTCGGGCCCGATTCAATCACACGAAAATAAATCCAGCTCTCGGGCTCGAGTTCTCCGGTTACTAATTTCGACAGTTCCAATCAATCGCACGATAAATAAACAAAACTCCAGACAATATAAATTAAATACGTACATTGATTTTAAAATACTAATATTATTAATCAAAATATACAATTGGTAATTAGACATATAATATTTAGACATTCAAATTGGCAAGCAATAATCAATATATCACAATAATAATAATAATAATAATAATAATAATAATAATAATAATAATAATAATAATAATTATAAACCACAAATAAATGGGGCATTACAGTCTACCCTCCTTAAACGATTTCCGTCCCCGGAAATCCAAGAAAAATCATCCAACAGGACAACTGACACACGAGAGAAGCTCAAACAACTCAACTCGGATACTCCGTCCGAAACTGCCCACTCTACCAAGTCACCCCGTACCAGCCATGGTTACCCTGCCGAACTTTGACGAGTACCTCTTCCGGACTCTCCCTGCTGGATTCGTCAATCCAGTAGGTCACCGGTACCTCATCAAAGGCAAGGTTCAGCCCACATGCTGCTCGTCAAAGATCGCCTCGTGCCTAGAGTCGCGCACCTGTCCCCTCTCCCCGAGGCACTGAACAGGTCGTGCACTTTTGCAAGCTCCGGTGATGGGGTCAACCGTCAGCATAAGACGCCGACTCGGTCGAGAATCACGAAAGGACCAACAAATGTGGCTGATACTTTCTCTCTTTCCAGAACTCGAGGCGTACAATGCCTCTTTCCGTATTCAGAACCTCGCACGGTACCATCAAGATCGTCACTCATAGCCATTGCTATAAGCGCACTTTCTTATGGTAAGAAATTCCACACGACACACCCATCGAGTACACCAGTCTCAAAACCAGTCTCTCAGGGTCTCGACAGCATGTCCTAAACGCATAACTATTTGGATTTCTACGCGGTGCCAAGTTCAGTCTCGTGCCCGGGTCACGTTGACAACTTGCCCACGATCCCAACGTTATCCGTGCGTCCGTATCAAACGGGTCGCCATGGGATCTCATATAAAAGGCTAACAAGCAACAATAACACCACAACTCAACACTGATACCTACAGAAGCTAAGGTTCTGCTCGATATCGGTGACAAAGCCTCATTCCCTGCCGACACGAGTAACAGCTCGTATGCGGTATAGGAAGTATCGACTAGACATACGAAAACAACTTCTATCGCAGAAACTGGCTCTAAAATAGGGATGCTCGACGATCCCATCATAACAATCTAAAAGGACATAGCCAGTCTGGGGTTTAATTCACTGTCACCCGAGAGATGTCATACACTCTGGTGCTGCATAAGCGGGGCGCTGGGACATGTGCGTACATCTGTTCGGAGAACAACTGCAAGGTCAAGGTTTCGGCCACACACTGGCTTGGGGAGCTCCTGCGTTCGGCGATGGTGGCTGCAGCTCGCGTGCGAGTCAACGATCGGCCCTGCAGTGCCTCACGTCTCTCAGCATGGGCTCGCGTGCTCGACCACCACTTCGAGTGACTACACCCAGTCAACATCGGCATTCGATTCGAGATACAGAAAAGAATCACTCTAATTCAAAGCTCGCACTATCTGAGGTAACCCGAAAGGAAAAAGGGTTTTCACAAAACCATGAAACATTAGGGTTCAA